TGAGCCAGCCCCTCTCTTCCGCACCAAATACACACCAAACGTTTTCAAATGATGCTTCTGCTGATATGGGCGCTCATTCTTCGGTGAACAGATGAGGTAGCCTCAGATGCTCACAAGGGTCTGAATTTCTCTGGGCTTCGATGGGGAATGGCATACTCTGGTCTAGTGAGTATCGAAAGCTGAGCTGCCCAATATGGTAGCTGTTAAACACATGTGGAATCTGTATATTTTTGAGAGGCTAGGAAATTGTATTTAATAAAATGATAGTCAGTGACTCAGTCAGACCAGGCACATCTCAAATGCCCAGTAGCCATTTAAGAATGCAGATTTCTCCAACAGCTCAGGGAGCTGTACTGCTGCTCTCAGGAGAGGCATTGACTAGGTCCTTCATGAAGCACCAATACCTCAAATGTATAAAAATTAGTGTCGCAGAGGGAGATGAGTTTCATGCTTAAGACAAGCATAGCAGAGAGCAACACCACTTGACTTTCCTTTGCAAGGATTCCAGGAATGTTTGAATGAATTTTGCACATTTCACTCCTCTTTCCCCCCCTTATTTTCATTCATAAGGTTCCCTCCTACCTGATCCAGTGTCTGTGTCTGAGAAAGAGATGAGAGACACACAGTTTAGCGTACAGGAGATTTCAATACTTTATGGAAATCTGTAAGAATTCTGGGAACCCACCAAAGGTAATATCAGATAGAAACTACCAGGCAGTGTTCAAATGTGTTAAAAAGAAAGAAAAATGTTGATTGTTTAAAGGGTGAGGAAGGAAACCCCTATTGACCAGAAACCTGGACTTTAGCTTCAAACAAAAGAATACAAAATGAGGAGCTTTTACATTTTAACTGAAGTTTTCGCCTCTGAGACAGATGCAGCTAAATATTAACTAAAGCCGTGTAGTCAATTACAGATTAAGATGCAATTAGGCCTCAGACCTGCCCCTTTCAGGGTGAGAGCTTGTCGATGTCAGGGCTGAGATAAGGGGAAGCACCCTGTGACAGGTGCCATCTATTGTGGAAGCACGAAGCTTCTGGAGCTTTCAGATCCTGTGTTAATAGGAGGCAAGACCCAAATGTCTTACTCGCTCACGCACCTCCTGCACAGTCATGCTTCCGTGAGCATCTAATGAGTACATTGTGATGAACGCAGACGGAGAGCCGCACCTGAAACAAACCTCGAGTAACAACCAGTGGTTAAATGGGTTGGCGGTGAAAGGGCTGGATCCAGCTCCAGAAACCCCGTCAGCGGGCACCTTGAACTTGTTCCTGCAACCCTCCCACCCTGGAGCAGAGCTTTTCCTATATTCAAATCGGTTCTTTGCTGTTGCTGCTAAATAAAGGTCATGAGGTAGAGCTGGTAACCTTCCTCCTCCCCCCCCCCCCC